GATACTTTCCCCTGAACAGCGAGTGCAGACAGGGGGACTCGTTCTGTGGACGGGGCCCCACTTAGAGTGGCGACCGTCTGAGCTTCGTGCGCGCACCTGTCGTGCATGTGCGTGCGTGTGCGTGTGTGCGTTTTTGCCCGACGCCGCCGCGTCGCTGCGCGCGCGGCTGCGACGCGAATGTGTGTATGCGTGTGTGTATGTGTGTATGTGTGTATGCGCGCGCGTGCATGTGTGGCTACAATCGGTCGGCCAGCACTTGATTCTCTAAAGCGGCTTGGATCGCCCGAATGGCTCTTCGCCCCGGCCGCGTGCGCTCGAAAACGTGTGCATGCGCGTGCGAGCTAGCGTGTGCGTGTGTGCGTTACGTGCGCCTGGATGGCCGTCTACTGCGCCGCTTCACGAAGAACCACTTCGTGGTATACGCCTCCCGTTACCATGCACCCGCGGTTTGGATTCAGCCCCGCGTCGGAGGAACAAGCGTGCGTGCATATGTGCGCGTGCGTGCGCATGCGATCGAATGTTTGTGTGTGTGTGCGAACCGCAACGTCTCTGTTCTTCGGCCTCGCGGGCTGTTTTTCCGCTTCCGCTCACCCGGCTTGGCCTGCCGGTGCACGTTCCTCTCTGCCTCCTGCCGCTCTGTCTGCGCGTCTCATTGGCACTTTGTCCTGCACCGCCTGGCTCTTCGACCCCAGGTCGCCAATGCGCGATTCTGGGAGTATCGCTCAACGACCTTCCCTCACAATGAAGTTCATCACTTTGAGTGTACCGCGCCATTGTGACTGCCTGCCGATTGCTCCCACTGGCGCGTCGGATGCAAAATGTGTATGTATGCGTCTTCTGTCGGCACTGGCCTTTCGGGACCGCCTCATTCCTTCGTCTCTCCCCCTCCGCAGCCCACTCCTGGGCGTGCGCATGGCACGGTTGATTCCTGCGGGTGGATCCCTGCCCCTGGCTTCTGAGTGGGCCAGCCGCGGGCGCGTCGCTCCGCTTCCCGAACTTCTATGCTGCGCGCGAGGCCGAGAAGTAACCAAAAAGTGTGTATGTGTGCACATGCCCCACACCATCTTCACCCTGGCGGAGGTTGACGGCTGCCTGTCCCCGCGGTTCTCGCTAATCTGGCAACTCGACCACGACAAGCCTGCCTGGCCATCAGGCCACACGATGCAATTGATCTGATATCTGGCGACTCCACCGCAACGACATTTGAGTTGGGACCGACAGTCCTGGCATTCCTATAGGCCTACCACGACATGCCCTTAGAACAGTAGAATGTTCTCACATCATGGACAACGTTCTCAGAACACGTGGCAGACTTATTCAAGCTAGGACTGTCTCAGCCAGAAATGTTCGACAAACGCGTCGTACAAACCACAACAGGCTCTGAGAACATTCTCTTTGGTGGGCCTACAGGCGAATCAAGACGTCTCGCCACTGCTTCAAACAAGTGCTTGCCGTCCGCGGCTTCCCACTCTTGGTGCGCGCACTGGTCCTCCTCACGCTGGGTTCGCTGCTCGCTTGCTTGGTTCCTTGCTGGTGTCGGCGCCTTTTCGGCTTGCCGTCCAGCTTTCACTCTATCCTCCAACCTCTTCGCCTCTGGCTTTCCTGCCTTGGGTGCTTTCTCTGTCTTTCCCTGCGCCCACTGTTCCTGCTCTCGCCTGGCCTTGCCGCTCGGTGTATAGCCGAAAACAATGGTTTCCACAACGTCCCCACAAACGTGGCCAATGCGTGGGAAATGCGTTCCGTTACCATGCAACTGTCGACTGGAATCGTATATGTGTATGTGTGTGTGCGTGCGTGTGTGCATGCGTGTGTGCATGAGGGTGCGTGCGTGAGTGCGTGCGTGCGTGCGTGCGTGCGTGCGTGTGTGTGTGTGTATGTGTGTGCGTGCGTGCGGGTGCGCGTCGTGCGTTGTCCGTGTCGAAAGCGCTTGCGCTTGCGCGCGCGCGTGTGTATGTGCGTGTGAGTGTGTGTGTGTTACCTAGATCGCTCTGGCTTATTTTCTCCGCCTCGTCTTTGCAAGCGGGCGACCTCAAACAGCATAATGTGTTGCCCTCCTCTCCTCCGCCGGTCGTGTCTGCTCTTGATGCTCTCTGCTCTTTTTGCATGCACATATTGGTTTTCATGCCCTGCCACCGCCTACCCGTGGTCTGAGGGACTCGCACTTCTCCCACGTTGCTTCACAGGGAGGCTAATACATTATCACTGTGCACTCTGTTGTTTTGTACCGCTGACTGGTCTTTTCCGCGCGTTGGAGGAAAAAGACTGTTTGCATGCATGCGTGGATGCGCGTGTGCGGCATGTGCGCGGATGTGCGTGCGTGCAGACGTGCGAGCGCGCGTGTGTGAGTGGGTGCCTTTGCGTGTGCGTCCGTCACTGTGTGCGTGTGTGTGTGTGTGTGCGTGTGTGTGTGTGTTTGTGTGTGTGTCTGGGTTTGTGTATGCGTGCGCGCGCGCGTGTGTGTGTGTGTGTCCTTGTGTGGAGGGGTACGTGCGTCTCTGCGCGCGTGCGTGCGTACCTGCACGTGTGGGTGTGCGTGTGTGTATGTGTGTGCGTGTGTGCGTGCGTGCGTGCGTGTGTGTGTGTGTGTGTGTGCGTGTCTGTGTATGTGCGTCCATGTTTGCCCATCTTCTTTCACTCTGAACGCGCCTGACCGTTGCTGCTCGGCGGTCGGCAACGTTCGGTCCTGCCGAGACCTTCAACTTTGTAGATGATCCCACACGACGTGGTCAATTCACGTTGAGCGCAAACCACAACTGCCGTCACCTGCGAGCCGAAAAAGAAAACGTGTGAGTACGCGCGTGTCTTTGAGTGTGTATGTGCTTGTGTGAATGCGCGTGCGTGCGAGTGTGTGTGTGTGTGAGTTTATGCGTGTGTGTTTGCGCGTGTGCGTGTGCTTGTTTGTGGGCGTGGGCGCGCGTACATGTTGTGTGTATGTGCGTGTGTGAGTGCGTATGTGCGTGTGTTTGTGTGCGTGTGTGTGCGCGCGTGTGTGCGTGTTCATGAGCGTGTGCGTGCGTGCGTGCGTTTCTTTGCTTGCGAGCGTGTGTGCATGTTTGCGCGCGTGCGTGCGACACCCGATGGAGAGGAACAGACAAATCGAACAATATCCATCCTATGTATGCGTTCATGGTGCGACGATGCTTCGGGTCTCCGTGCCGGTGTAGTTCCCGCGTTTTCGGCCAATGGTCCCTGGAAGAGCACCGAGAGGTCCCCAAAGGCCCCCAAAAGGGCCCCGAGAGAGCCCGAAGAGGGGCTCAACGCCCCGAGAGAGCCCGAAGATGACTCCAAGAGGCCTCGAAGAGGCTCCCAGTGAGCCCCAAGCTGGTTATCATTGGGGCCTACTCGGGCTGACTAAGACCAAAACTTTGATCTGACGGGGGTCCTCCCTCTTCGTATCCCCCAGGAGCGGTTCTTGATGGACTGTACGCGGCCCGCCAAGACTTGAAACCAGGAACGGCACGCCGCGGAATCCTCTTGTCGGGGGTGCGGGGGATCTTGGGCTATTCTCCGCTTTGCGTTCAGACTACTCTCTCTCTCTCTCTCCGGAAGTGGGCCAACGTTATTCCCCCCAATGTACCCACGGCGTGGCGCAACCCCCAAAAATGACGACCGCGCAGCGCAGGCAGACCGCCGCGCTGGTGGAGACGCCAGCCTGGCCACTCGTGGCCTCGCACTCCAGGTAAATTGACGAACGAACAACACACACCCATACCCATGGGGGGGTCGTTGGGAGGAGGACTGGCTATGGGTATGGGTGCGGGTTGTCGGATCCTGGGGAACACTCCCGTTCGAGCGGGGGCCCCCATCCGACAACACGCACCCATAGCCCTCTCCGAACCCCCCTATGGGTATGGGAGTGTGTTGCTGGTTCGTCATAAATGACATGTCGGCGAAGGGTTCGCTGATCAGCTGGCTACGCAGCAACGCCATGGACCACAGCGCACAGTGCTTTCCACTCGATTGCGACCTCCCGCCGCTGAGGCGCAAACGCGTCGGCAGGGGTAGCCCCACGTACAGCCTCGCAGACCAGGGCCAAGAAGGGCACAACGAAAGCTTTGGTTTGGCGTGCCAAGCAAACTCTGCGCTCAGAGACCAGCGCAACCGTGCAGAGAAGACGGGTGCAACACACTACAAGGCCGGAATCATGGACACATCTCCGCACGGCTGCCTGCTTCTCCATGCGGTCCATGGTGACAACACAACCGAAAGCCGACCGAAACGACAATGAAACCGAAACCGACAGACAACCGATAGGTCGCAATCAGCCTAGAAGGGCGCAGCAGCACAGTAATGACACAGCAATCAATCGAACAAAACCGACCGAACGCCGCCGATTGCGAAGCAGCCTAACCGACCGAATCGTGGACACCCCTGCTCCTCTGGACGTGGTTGGTCCACACCCGCGCCTCGCCCAGGACGCACCGCTCGAGCATCGCTGAAAGCAGCTTGTGGAATTGGACTCTCCTGCCCTCCGAACACGCCCATGAAGGGCCTGCCACGGCAGACTGATGGGCTGAGCAGGATGCATAGCCCCTCTTGGACAGGTATGTCGACCGCGGTGGGGAAGAGGCGAAGGAAGGAGGAAGAGAAGAGGAAGGAGGGGTCCCCACTAGGGGGAGGAGAAGAAGAAGGAGGAGGAGGAGGAGGGAGAAGGAGGGAGGAGGAGGAGGAGGAGGAGGAGAAATGGGAAAACAGGAGGAAGGAGTGACAGGAAGAGACGGACAGGAGGCGAGACTTGGAGGCCCGACGTTACGTCGAACCTTTGGGGGACCCTCTCTGTCCCTCCCAGTTGGGGGGCCCACGCCCTAGGCGGGCGAGCTGAGGCGATCCGTGGCCGTCCGGAGCTGTCCGAGGGTGATCCGAGGCTGCCCGAGTCCACCCGAGGCCACCTGGACGCTGGAGGATGCTGCAACTGTCAGGACGAGGGTGGTCCACCCCAGGTTCCACGCAACCGACGGCCGCACGCGGCGCCGACCCCCCTCTCTCACGTGCCTGCCCAGCTATCGCAGCCAGCCGAAGCGGCGCTTGCGCCTCTCGGCGCGCTCCCGCCTGTTCTTCTTCTGCTGGCGGCGCTGGAGCGGCGTCAGGGGCTGCTCTGGGGCCTCCTGGAGGAGCTCGCTCTTGCCGAACGCCTCCACCTCCCGGATGGCGAAGAACTTGTCATTGCGGCGCGGCTTCGATGTGTACGAGGCAGAGGGGCGCAGGCGGATGTACCGAGCATTCAGCGGGCGCTCGAAGGCCACCTCCCGGTCCCCCTCCCACAGCGTGAGCTCGCCGACGGAGCCGTAGTTCTTCCAGTTGACGCTGTCGGAGGACACCTCGAGGAGCATCGAGTCCTTTGCCTCACATATGCACGACTCGAAAGTGACCTCCACGCGCGCGACCTGCATCACCTTGCCGAGATCTCCAGTCCACGTGTTCAGGTTGTTGACGCCGGCGATGGTGCTCACGAAGCCATCGATGGCCTGCTTGGCAGGGTTTCCTTCACAAGCGCTGGTGCTGCAAGAGGTCGCGCCCTTGAACTTCAGCCGCGACGAGCTGTTCGCCTCGCCCTCCGGGCGCCCGCCGATAATCCTGTGCGGCCTGCTCGGCATCGGGATGTCCTTCGTGCCCTTCGTGGCGCCGGTGTCCGGCGTCACCTCCACGGGGTCGCTGGGCAGGCGGCACCGAAGCTGCGCGGGCTCCCGGTACAGCCGCGTGTCCCAGTGGCCCCGCATTTCCATGTTCACCTTCTTCCCAGTGAGGCAGTTGTAGTGTGTGGCGTGGCTGCCAGGGATCCCGCACTCCCCGACCTCGGCAAGGTTGAACACCGCCAACTGGCTGTGCAGGTCCGGGTTCGTTTGCATTAGATGCTGCATCGCGCTCTGGTCGCCCTCCTTCGCGTTCAAGAAATCTGGGTCGACCCGGGCCCACTCCCTCAGCACGGGCAGGCCAGCCTTGCCGGAATACACGGTCCCAGTGTTCTGCCGATTCTCAGACGCGTATTCGCGACCCGTGATTGCAATGCAACCCTTGCATGCCGCCAACACTCCGGGCGCGATCTTCAGCACATTCTGGTGGAGGATCACATCTGTGTCGATCATCATGACAGGCTGCTCTGCCGCCTCCACGGCCGCTTGAATGATATGCGGTTTGGTCCAAAGCACCATGTTGTAAGCACAAGACCACGCCTGAGCTGCCGACTCCGCGAAGAGTTCCTTCGGCAACCATCCCGAAATGTCAATGCAGCGGAGCTCGAACTTGCCCTTCGAACCGACATTGGAGGGTTGGACGATACCCTTCGCGACAGCCTGGCACTCCTCGTAGGCTTCCTTGTCCAAGGCCACGTTCACGGCAACGATGTGGTCCGAGGTGCCACAGGTCAGATTGTGAGCGTGCACCATGAAATTACGAAACATCTGCTTGAACCGCCAATCGCCTACGGTGAGGTACGCCGGCTCCTTGATTCCCTTGAAAGCAGACGCGAACCTGGGCTTGTAATCGCGGTTGAAGGCCTGGAGGAAACCTTCCGCAGTCTTGGCGCGCTTCTCGGGCTCGCACTGCTCAGACTGCGGCCCGTCGCGGTTGGCGAGCAGCTGGCCCGTGGCGTCCTCGTCGCTGAATTCCCCGCGCGTCAGCGCGATCTCGTAGGGGATGTTTCGGTGGCAACTCATGGGAGCCTCCCATACCATCTTGCTGGATCTTATGAGTCGACGCTAACCGACGCTAATCGACGACGCTAGTCGACGTTGAATCTACGCTCATCGACGCTAATTCGGCGCTTCCCCATCGATGACCAAACGTCATTGCACGCTAACGCACTCGTATCCGCCACCGTGCCCTTGAGGCACTAATTGGAACCTGACAGGACAAGAACGGGAAGCGCCGTTCTTGTCCACCAAGCGTGTCAAAGAACCTATGGTGGAGAACGTCAACGAAACCTAGAAACGCAACGCAACAAATTAAGACGCGTGCTGTCACTTTATTGCGATGGCCTGCCGCGCTAGTCTGCCGTGCTGGTCTGTCGAGCAAATCTGCCGCCCTGGGCACATGATGGACTTCGCGTGTCGTCTAGGGCTCTTGGGGCTTTCTTGAGCTCTCTGGGGCCCTCTGAGGAACCTTGTGAAAGCCTGTTGGGAGCCCGTTGTGAGCCTTTTGGGAGCCTGTTGGGGGCTTCTGTGACCCTCTTGGACTGTCCGGGCGCGTCTCGAGGGTCTGTGGGGGCTCTCTCGGGCTGCCTTGGCGTTCTCTTGGGCTGTCTCGGGGCTCTCTTGGGCAGTCCCAGGGCCTCTTCGGGTGCTCTTGGAGGCCTCTGGGCGCCCCTTGGGGGCCTCTTGGGCTCTTGGGGGTCTCTTGGGGCGCTTTGGGGGTCCCCTGGGAGGCCTTCGGGGGCTCTCTTGGGCCGTTTTGGAGCCCTCCAGGAGCGATTCCAGGATAATGCTGCTTCGGAGCTCCCTCTGGAGCCCATTGTTTGAGGATGTCGCGAAGCGCTCATTTTTGCGGAACCTGACCGGACAAGAACGGGAAGCGTCGCTTTTGTCCACTAAGCGTGTGAAGTATGCTCTGTTGTTAGTCGGCCGCGCAGGTATGTCGTGACGTGCGTGCCGGCGTGCGTGCGGGGTGCGTTCTGCCGTGAGCCTGTGTTCTGCCGTGCTCGTGTGTGTGTGTGTGTGTGTGTTCTGTGTTCTGTGTGTTCTGCCGTGCTCCTGACTTCTGCCGTGCGGACCGTCGCGGTGCTCTCTATGGCGGATCTTCGGGGCGCGCTCGGTTTGGCGGATCCTTGGGGGTGCTCGTTTTTGCGGATCTTTGGGGGTGCTCGTTCTGTTGTGGATCTTTGAGGGTCGTTCGCTTGTGGCGGATCTTGGAGGCGCGCTGCCTGGTGAGCATCGGAGCACGGCAGAACACACAAAAGCACGGCAGAAGACACAGGAGCACGGCAGAACACACAAAAGCACGGCAGAACGCAAACACACAGGAACACGGAAGAACATACGGGAGCACTGCAGAACACACACAGGACCACAGCAGAACACACAGGAGCACGGCATAACACACAGGAGCACGGCAGAAGACACATGAGCACGGCAGAATACACAGGAGCACGGCAGAACACGCAGGAACACTGCAGACGATTTTCTGATGATGTCTGCAGCGAGAGCGCCGTTTTCGACATGAGAGATAGTAAAGCAACTCTTCCAACATATCATTTTGGTGAGGATGTCTCAAACGAAACGCCCATGCTTGAAAATATGCCAAATTCGCGACTTCCCATTTTGGGAGGATGTCTCAGGCGAAGCGTTGGTTTTTCATAAACGGCGATGGTGCGAATAGCTTATTGTTTGAAGATGTCCCTAGCGAAATCGTTGGGCCATGTTTGAGCTCTTATAGGCTGTCTTGAAGCCTTATACAAACGAGCTCCGCATGATGCCAGTAACATCTCATTTTTTGTGTGAGGATGTTCCTGACGAAATGGCAGCTTTTAGAAAACACTTCGAGCAAACAATCATGTTGGTATGCCGTGCTCCTCCCGATTTTCTGAGGATGTGTGTTCTGTGTGCCCATGTGTGTTCTGCCGTGTTCCTGTGTGTCCTGTGTGTTTAACCGTGCTCCTGCGTGTTCTGCCGTGTTCCTGTAAATCTCTGCTGTGTTCATGTGTGTTCGGCCGTGCTCCTGTAAACTCTGCCGTGTTCATATGTGTTCTGCCGTGCTCCTGTGTTCTGCCGTGCTCCTGTGTGTCCTGCCGTGTTCCTGTGTGCTCCTGTTGGTTATGCCATGTTCCTGTTAGTTCTGCCGTGCTCCTGTGTGTTCTGCAATGTTTCTGTGTGCTCTGTATGCTCTGCCATGCTCCTGTGTATTCTGCCGTGCTCCTATGTGTTCTGCCGTGCTCTTCTACCGTGCTCCTTGCTGTTTTGCCGTGCTCCTGTTTGTTCTGCCGTGCTCCTGTATGTTCTGCCGTGCCCCTGTGTGCTCTGTGTGCTCTGCTGTGCTCCTGTGCGTTAAAGTTAAAGTTAAAGACGGGGCCTTCAAGGCACTGGGAAGGGGAGGAAAACGGGGACAGGGCCAGGCGGGACCAAAGTCCCGAGAGACGCCGAGTCCCAAGCAAAGCCAGACACGCGAGCCTACTCACAAGAGAGCAACAGGCGCTGGCGGGAAGGCAGGGAAGCCTTCACTCACTCTCAGTCTCCAGGCCGCGGCGCGCCAGACGGCGGCGGACCCTGCGGCTCATCTGTCCGTCGCTCGCCGCTGCGCCCGAGGCAGCGCTCACCTCCTCGGTGTCCTCGTTTGCGCCGAGGCGCCCAGCACTCGTCGGGCCTGGGCGCTGCTGGGGCAGGCTGACAGCCGCAGCCTCCTCCGCCAGCGCCGCCGCAGGGGCCGCTGGGCCGCTGCCAGAGCTGCTGGCCGCAGCTGAGGCCTCGCCTGCAGGCTCCGCTTCCATGCCGAGCCATTCCAGGTAGCGCTCCTGGGCGTGCCCTGGCACCGGCCCTTGCGAGCGCAAGGCAGGGATGCCCTCCCCCTTCACTCTCTGCTTGTCCGCTCGCGGCCTGCCTCCAGGATGGAGCCCTCGCTCCCAAGGGCTGCGCTGATTCCTGCCTGACTTGTTGGTCAGGTAGCTGGGCCCTGGGCACTGCGCCTTCAGGCGAGACTTGCCTCCCGCGTGGCTGCCCAGCACCTTGTAGGCGCGGCACTTGGAGCAGGCCACGATCTCCTGGGTGTCCTCGCCTTCGCCCGCGCAGGCGTAGCTGAGCACGTGCCCCAGAATGCTGAAGGCGACAGCGGTAGCCGAGAGGGCTGCCGCACCGCTCCCCGTCGAGCGGCTGCTCTCCAGGCGTGGCCGCTTGGCAGGAGCGCCGCGGCCAAGGGCCACTCCAGTCAGAGGAGGCTCTGCAGCTGCAGCGGCCAGCACCTGGCGGCGCTCGCCAGCAGGAGGGAGCCCTTCGCTACTCTTGGCCGAGCCGTCGAGGTACAGCTTGCCGTTGAGCCTGGCTGGCTGCCGAGGCCTCCAGACCCTCATCGTCCAGTGTGTGTTGGCGATGTAGGCCCCTCGCGCGTGTTGCCCCTTCACGCACAGCTCGACTCCTGGCCCGAGCAGTTGCCTGATGGCGTCCCCGAACAACAGCCGCAGCAAGAGGGGGTCGCAGCTGAGCCTCTGCATCTCATGGCGGTTGGAGGCCTGCAGGGCCGCCGAGCTTGCCTCAAAGCTCATCGCCCGAGGCCCGAGGAACATGGGATCGAACGCGTCGCCGAGGTCCACGACCATGCTCCGCTCCGACTCGAAGTACCAGCCGAACCGCTCCAGGGACCGCGCCACCGCGTCGGCGGGCGAGGCCCCGCGCACCGCAGTGGTGGCCCTGGCGTGCCTGGCTGCTGCCGCCTCCAGCCTCCGAGCGCGTACCCTGAGTGGCAGCTCGGCTGGCTGCTGCAGGTCCGCTCTCACTGCCATCGCCTCGGGATGCCCAGGTACGCCTGCTTGGCCGATGGGGCCGCTCCACTCGCTAATGCCGAGCACGTGGGCCCCGACCTCGTTCTCCTCCGCGCCCTGGGGCATGAGGACAATGCTGGGCCCTACGGCGTGCCCCAGGTACTTGGGCGGGTCGCCGACGTCGATGCCGTGGGACTCCACCAGGGCGCCCTCGACATGGCCGCACTCGTGCTGGTGCAGGCCCGCCGCCCTGGTCTGACTAGGCACTCGTTGGCCCTGGCGGTGCTCCTCCGACGCGGCCCCCAGTGGCGCGGCCAGCATGACGAGCAGCCAGAGGAGCCAGGTCCGCCGCCTCTGCAGCCAACTCCCGCTTGCATGCCTGGGCCACCGTCGGCCACTCGCCATGCGCCTTGCCACGCCGCTCGGATTGGCCTCGCTCTGCTGCTGGCTGTGGCTGTCAGGAGCTACCGCTACCTGCGAGATCGCCATCGTCGCTGCTGATCTCCTCCATGGGGCAGGAGGCGCACGCTTGGGGGCCACTGGGGCCCCCGCGAGCTGCGCCCGCACCGCCTCCACCTGGGCGCGGATGGCTGCCCAGGCCACCTCGAAGTTGCTGGAGCCCCAGGCCGCGGGCAGCTTCTCCAGCTGCATGGGGAGCCCTGGCACCTGGCTGGCTCCTGCCCACTCGGCAGCACGCTGGCGGCGCAGCGCCTCGGCCTCCTCGCGGGCTGCCTCCTCGAGCACCTGGAGCGCTCGGCTCGCCTCCTCGACCTCCGCGTCGAGCTCCGCGAGCCCCTCCTGGGCCTTCTGGAGCTGGGCCTCGACGAGGCTACGCGCCGCCTGCTTCCGCTCGAGCTCCTGGCGGGCTGCGCGGAGCCGCTTCTCACCCTTGCAGATGGCGTTCGCCTCCCTGTGGAGCTGCGCTGCCCGTGGCAGGGAGGAGGCCTTCTGCTCTGCAGCCGCCTTCTGGGCCCTGCCCAGCTCGGCGCGCGTCGCCTCCAGCTGGCTGGCCACGACGTCGGTGAAGCAGCCGTCCACGCCGTCAGGCGGCTCGGCCTGCAGCGCCTCGAGCTGCTCGACTGCCGCCTGGAGCCTCTCGATCGCCGTGGCGCCTCCACCGCTGGGCGCCCCACTCGCTGCCGACGCCGAGGTCTGCGACTTGGCGGAGGCCCCCCGCGAGGCCGCACTGCGGGCCTGCCTCTGGGCACGGCGCTCGCGTGGCTGATCCACCCATCCGTCCTTGTCTGCC